GCAATATGGGTGCTTTATAGTCATCAATATAAACATTTACAGAAGTAGATGAAGTCATTTCATGCTGCAATTCCATGTAAAAATTGCCTTAGCTATAGAAGTAGTAGGTGTTTTCATAATTTTCTAGTTAAACATGCTGGTATAATGTCTGAGGCTCACTGAGACCTCCTGCAGTTTCAGGAATATACTTTCTTTACATTATAAGACTGTTTGTTTATAACTGTCAAACCACCAGCAAGTTATCAACTCACATTCAATACAGGCACCAAGCCACACTTTTGTTAATGTAAATTCTTGAAGAGAACAGAAACTAGACTGTTTTTATAAGTTTTAAACTCATAAGTCAAAACACAGCGATTTAAAAAAAAAAAAAAACAATGATTTCTTTCTCAAAAGGCTTTTTTCTTTCCTGGGTGGTGTTCAAGCAAGAACTGTTTTGGAAATGCTGACAGGATCATAGCAAAGGCATCCAGAGGGAAACATATAATATGTTTATTTATCTTAGAAACCACAGAACATTGCAAAAGGCCAAATTGGCCCTGTAAAATGTGTTGCTAACATGTACAGTACGATAGCTTAGTTTGGCTAAAGTCAAGTCATTTCTGTGCTGATAAAGAAGGATCATAATCTATATTCTGGCATCTCTAGAATTTATGTCTACAGCTCAACCCTTTCCGTTGAACTCCAAAATTCTAGATCTAAATCCTTCTTGGCACATCCATATGGAAGTTGAATATGCATCGCAAAAAGAACAGATTCAAAACCAGATATTTGATTCTCAGTTCTTCCAACTCAACCTCCCAGTCATTCCCATCTCAGTAAATGGTGACTTCATCCTTCCAGTGGCCCATGCCAAAATTCCTGAAGTCATCTCTGTCTCTTCTCTTTCTTTTTCATGCCCCATCTGATCATTCAGCCATCCCTGGCCTCTCTACCATAAAAACAAACCCATATTTTGATCCCTTCTCAACAGTTTTTCTACTATTATCCAGGTCAAAGTCTTCCTCATCTCTCACCTGATTGTTGGACTAGTATCCGAAATACTCTCTCTTGGCCTATTCCTGTTACCTTGCAGTCTATACACACAAAGGGATCCTCTCAAGACAGTTGAATCAGGTCACTCCTCTGCTGAGATCCCTCTAATAGCTCCCGGTCTTACTCGGAGTAAAAACTCATCTTTACAATGGCCTAAAGAGTCCTACAGGATGCAGTTGTCAGTACCTTTCTCACCTTGTATCATATATTATCTCTCCTTGTTCACTTTACTCTTCTCACATTTGTCCTCTCTGGTCTTGTTGGAACCTGTCATGTATGTTTTCCAAATTCAGGGCCCATTTTTTTTTGCTTGCTCCCTTCAGTTCTTCATCTCTCTGCAAAAAATGTTACTCCTGATAAGGTCTTTTTCTGACCATCCTATATAAAATAGCAAGTCTCACCCCCTTCACATCCCTTATTCCCCAGTTCTGCTTGACATTCCTCCACTTTAATTGTCATGTCCTGGAATGTCTCCTCCTGCTGCAACATCTGCTGCAGAGAGCAGGGCATTATGCACTGCTGTGTCTCTGCCACTAGAACAGTGTCAAGCATACAGTAGGTTATTAATAAATATTGGCTGAATAAATGAAGTAATATGTGCTAGTAGATATGTCTGATCAAGACAAAAAAGTTGGATTGTTTTGACATTTTTGAGTGTATTTTAAAATTGATTTGTGTTTTTGTGCTTGTTCCTGATAGCCTGGAAGCATTCTTTCAGCCCTCACAGACCCTACAGAATGTGTGGCCTGGGAAGAGTCTCCTGATCTCCAATGCCTAAGTGATTGATGGCGGTCATAATACTCAGGAGGCAACTCACCCAGTCCTTGTCTGGTTATCTTATACTGGGGTAGGGTGTGCATATGGCCTTTCTCTTGGTTCAAAATTGTTCAACTTCATTGAAGGTTGTTCTGCTTTCCTGAATGTTTGTGCTTGTATATGGTTTTAACAAGTTTAGTGTTCTCCCTTTCTTGATTTTACTTTGTTTTCCACTATTATATTTTGTAGTGTGAAATTGACAGTCTGTCACAGACCTGTGATTTGAAGTAATTGTGACAGATGGTGTGCTTGAATACATAAGCAGATCCACTAGAAGGAATGTTTTAGCAATAAGTGTGGGAATTTAAAATTGAGCCACAAAATCAAGAGTGAAACGACTGCAATGTCGACTCAGCAACCTCGACTGTCTGTGCTGCAGGAGAGTCTGAAGGACAATGAAGTCTTGTGAAGAGTTTTTGTGTGTGTGAAGGGGCAGTCTTGGACCAGGACTGCCTGGAACATTGGATGAATGAGAAATGACTTTATACAACATTTTTAGTTTACTTGAGGGATTAGGCATTTCTTCCTTTGTATAAAGATAAGATTATGACATCCTGCAGCTGCTTCTGCAATAAAATTGTGGAATAAAATGGTTTCTTGGAAGAGCGTTATGGAGAAGGGTAAAGGAAAATAAAAAAGATAATAGTGATGATTCAGACAAATGAATGAGCAGAAGAAGAGGAGATCCAACTTATGTCTAATTTATGTCATGAGAATTACATAGTAACATTTATTGCCAGATCAAAGTCTTTGACGAGAAATGCTTTAAAAGAACATGAATTCTGTGTTCTGGAAAATCTGTGTCACTTGATAAACTAAGATGGCTGTCCTGAAGACAGAAAGTGGTATGGCCTAGGCTAGCATAAATGTACAACAGAGGCTTTTCCAACCAGGGGGGGTCAGAGACAAATTAATAAGTTTTCAACCTTTTATGTGAACCACACATAATCGAATAACAGTTTTATTAAAACAAAAAGATAATTAAACATTTAAGAAGGAAAAAAGAAAGTGGATATGAATGATTCAGTTGAACAAATATTCCTCCCAGAAGATATATTCAAAATTGAACCCCCAATACCTGTGAGTCTGACTTCATTTGGAAATAGAGTCTTTGCAGATATAATCAAGTTAAGATGTGTTCATACTAAATCAGGGTGAGCCTTAATCCAATATAACTCATGTTCATAGAAGAAGAAGAGAAAAGACACAAACACATGAGCGAGAAGGCCATGTGAGGATGAAGATGGAGGCAGAAATTAGAGTCATGCTGCCATAAGGCAAAGAACAACTCGATCTAACCAGAAGCCTAGGAGGAGCAAGAAAAGGTCCTCTTCTAAAGGCTTTGGAAGGAACCTGATCCTGCTGACACCTTGATTTTGAATTTTTAGCCTCCAGAATTGTGAGAGAATAAGTTTCTGTTGTTTTAAGCCACCCAGTTTTTGGTACTTTATTATAGCAGCTGTGAGTTCCTTAAAGAGGCCAAAAAGCAGGAGACAAAAGACAGACATGGTACAATAGGAAATGAGAGGACTCTCGGCTGACTTATTTCTCCAAGTGTGGACCAAGAAGCAGCAGCATTGCTGGAAGTTTGTTTGAAATGCAGAATCTCAGACCTCAATCCAGACCTGACACGTAAGAATTTCCCTTGAGATTATTATAGCTCCAACTGAGTGCCTGTAATAACAATGGCAGTAGCAACAACCACAGTTGAGCCCTTTCCATTTACTCTACGTTTATCTAAAAGTTATACTGTACACTAGCTAACTGAATTTACATACCAATCCATAAGACATGCACAATTAATATTCCCATTTTATGGACAAGGAAATGAGTCACAGAAAAGTTAACTAACTTCCCTTAGTCATGCAAATAGTAAATGTAGAAGTCAAAGAAATGAGCTATATTTATCTTTATTTCAAAGGAAATAAAGATACATATATATGTGTATATACAAAAAGATATATAAAGATATATATATGTGTGTGTATATATATAAATATATATATATGGGGGGAAGTTGTGTTGACACTTAAGAGTACTGGAGAATCAGGACTGTCTCTCATTTTGATATTGAACCAAATTAGAAATAGCTTGACTACTGGAAAAGTGTGCTGAATCTGCCTTACAGATAAGTGTCCAAAATGGTCTTCCCGTCTTTAGATTTCTACTTATTTCTCACCACAGTTGTCAATTAAGCAGCAAGATAACTGCAGGCTTTTCCCCATAAGAGAAAGGCTGCAACATAAAGGGTGTACTGTTCAAGGCTATAACATGGAGTGTGCATCATTGAAGGCTACAACATGAAGGGTGCATCACTCAAGGCTACACCATAACGGGTTAATCAGTCAAGGTTACAATAAGAAGGGTGAATCGTTAAGGGCTATAACATGAAGGGTGCATTATTCACGGTTACAACAGAGAGAAGGATGCATCATTCAAGGTCCAGCTCTGAACAACAAAATGTCCACTGACGGACATGCACCTTGAATTCCTGAACGTGTTCCAGTAGAAACCACCTCTTCAACTGTAGTCATGACAGGAGGATTTCTTGGGAGATGAAAAAGAGAAGAAAAAGAGAGGTTTCCCCCCTCTTATTAAACGTACTGGAAAATTCCAATTTTATGGTCCTGCAAGAATGTGGAAAGATGGAAAAGAGTAACTTTCCCTCATGTTAATATTAGCTCGAGATACATCAAATGTAAATGAAAATTATTGCTTCCGTTTCAGAAGAAGAAAAAGAGTTTGATTAAGCTTCCTTTATGCCAACCTGTCAGAGATGTATCCAGGCATACCTCTTGGATTTGGAACTTAGTCCCTGTCTTGGATAGTGCCTCCGCATCCAATCTTGCTCTTGGACTATTATGCATCTACGGAAACCCACCTCAACTGTTATCTCCTCAAGTTGTTCGTGTTCCACTGCACTCATTCTGCTATTAGCGGAATTGATTACCCCTCATGTGAACCTCTACTGTAACTTGCATATATTTCTGTGATAAAATTTATTCCACCATATATAAATTATTTGCTGCATTTCATAAATTATTTAAATTTATCCTGTAGTATTTCAATTATTTTTCCCATATGAAACTATGATTTATAGGGCCTTTAACCATCAAATATCCAACTTCATAGAAGACAAAAACTATTTCCACATATTTGCTTATTAATTGTTGATAGCACAAATGTACAATTTGATAAATGTCTACTCGAAGTAAATCATCCCTAGGCTTATTAAATTGTCTACATTGGTAGCTGTTTCTAAATTCTACAGAAAACATTTCTAACATTGGTGGTTTAACTAAAGAAAATACTTATGTCTAATACATCTAGTAATTGTAGAAATGTTCAGTCTGATTACATGAAGTCACATCATAGTTTTAATATTTATTTAGCAGAGGAGTAAATTGAAACATCAGTTCTCTAGACCAATCAGGAAATGTATGCTTTGTGCTTTATAAGCTTACATTGAACATAGATGACGTAAGTTACCATACTCAAACGTAAGACAGAGAGAGGTAGAAGAAATAGCTGAGAACTTGAAAAGATATACTGTTATTGTCAACAAAGCAATGTCTTCTCTCTTCATAAAATTGTGTTTAGGGAATATTAACAATTAAGCTTGTATACAATAGTAATTTTGAATGTATTTTTAAATTTATTTTTTCAAAATAATGACATTACCAAAAATTTTACATAGCCTGTATTGAATTCACACATTCAAATGAGGCTTACCAGTAATAATGGGGATTAATACAGAGCTAGTGTTTGGCATTTGACTTTATCTCAAAGGAGCTAACTGCTCAATGAATTACAGAAGACTCATACTCTTTTTATTTTTTTCTGGAAATTCAAAAAGAAAAGCTTTACTAAATATTGACATATATATTTACTCCAAATTTTACATTTAGTGAAATAAGAATATCTCTAATAGCTCAGTTAACATCAACAGAAAGCTTCAAAAGATGATCTGAAAATGGCAGGCAAAATTTCTTTTTATTGTAGGCAATTACTTAAACTGGAAATTTGGCTTTATGCATAATAAGTCATGTGGGTAAAACATCCACATTGCAGTTAGGTTTTGCAGTATCTAGCTTTTATTTATCTTTTAGCAATGACATTAACAGGATTTTGCCAGGTTATAAAAATGAGGGCTTTCTTGAGAATTACTTATAGTTTCCGAGTTGAATGGCAGAGCGCACGTAGACACATCTGAAGGTGGATGGCTGTATCTCCCAGTACTGCACCGGGTTGCTGAAAAGACTCACACCCGAATAAGAAGCCTTTTTGGTATTGTGTCCAGGTGGGCAGAAGTCACTTGATCCAACTACAGAGATATTGTTGTTATGAAGGTAGACAACCTACAACATGAAACGACAGAAGATAATTATCATTCTCTAAATATGTTGAGGCCCTTCCGGTAAATATTTTATTCTTTTTATTATTTTTTAATCCTTCACTTTTTTTTTTGAGATGGAGTCTTGCTTTGTCACCCAGGCTGGAGTGTAATGGCGTGACCTCAGGGCCTTGCAGCCTCTGCCTCCCAGGTTGAAGCTATTCTCCTGCCTCAGCCTCCTGAGTGGCTGGGACTACAGGCACACACCACCATGACTGGCTAATTTTTGTTTTTAGTAGAGATGGGTTTTTACCATGTTGGCCAGGCTGGTCTCGAACTTCTGACTTCAAGTGATCCAGTCACCTCAGCCTCCCAAAGTGCTTGGATTACAGGCGTGAGCCACTGCAACCGGCCCCACTTTGAATAACTGACTACTTCTCAGATTAAACTTTTGATTTCTCCCTTCCTTTTGAAAATGTGTTTTTCCCTTCTTTGGTCTTGTCTTCCTCATCTTAGTAAATTGCATGCCAATCATTTCAGATGCTCAGGCTGTATACACTGTCATTATCCTTGAGCTCCAGTTCCCTTATGCTCTCTACATAATCAACAACAAATCTTGCTAGCTCAGCCTTCAAAATGTACACTTAATCTAGTTCTTCTCTCCATGTCTACTCCTACAGCCTTGTCCAAGTCACCATTGTTTCTTTCCAAATGATTGAAGTTGCCCTGATTATTCTTCCTGCTTCCCCTTTTGCCTTCCGAAATTTTATCCTTTTTTTTTAAGCTCTAAGAGCAATTGCTTTAAAAAGTAAACCAAATTATATGTTCTTTGCCTCAGAACTCCAGTGGTTTCCCATCTCATGCAGAGTAATAAAATCTAAAGTTCTCAAAGGGGTCTACAAATCCTACATGGTCTGACATCCTTCTACTCTGACCTCCTCTTCTCTTACTGTACAAGTCAATCATCTGGTCTACTTGCTGCTCTTCTAATGCACAAAGCATGATCTCTTCTTAAGTTGTCAACACCATTAACTCAACCTGGCATAATTTCTAAGGTGTCTGCAAGGCTTCCTGCCTCATGTAATTCACTTTTTCTTACCAGACAGACCTTCCCTGACCACCCCATTCTGTCATTCTCTGCCGCAGAATTACATTTCTGCATTTTTCTTCATAGCATTATCAATATATAGCATATTATGCTGATTTGCTATTGTTTGTTTCTCTCCTCTAGAGTAAAAGCTCCATGAGACAGGAATGGTTCTGCTCATTTATGGCTGTATCTCCAGTACTAGAACAGAGCAGGTGTTCAATAAATATGTGTTGAAGGAATAAATGTTATTTCATATATCAGGTCTACATGACTATATTGGGTCTACATGAAATATTATGTTTTCAGGGCAAAAAAATATATAAACCTTTTAACAAAATTATATAGAACAAGAAAGTGCTGTGTAGTGAAAAAGAAAAAGAGAGCGTAAAGTATGGGAATTGAAATAAAGAATCAGGAATTCCAAGAAATTCTGAAATATTTAAATATCACAGCATTTAGAATAAATAGACCTAGGAAGTTTTAACAAACATGTATTCTACATAATACATTTTACTTGATGAATACAGTGCAATAAAATCAATCAGAGATTTTTTTCTGCAATATGTTTTACAATCATGTTTAAGATAATGGTAATTTGTCCATAGATTTTCTTAGGGTCACTAAATACCAGACTTATACAAAGAATGTTAGAAATGAGTTTACACTTCACTTTGTGGATATAAGTTCTGTAGGTCAAGAAGCAACTGCTCTAAAATCATACAAGCGAGGTTAAAATATAACACTAAGACAACAAGGTCTTAAGTGAGCTATGAAACCTATAAGTTCTCCCTTAAAAAAATAACTTGAAAGTCTAGGCGTGGTGGCTTATGTCTGTAATCTCAGCACTTTGGGAGGTTGAGGCGGGTGGATCACAAGGTCAGGAGTTCAAGACCAGCCTGACCAACATGGTGAAACCCCGTTTCTACTAAAAATACAAAAATTAGCAGGGCATGGCGGCGCATGCCTATAATCTCAGCTACTCGGGAGGCTGAGGCAGAATTGCTTGAACCTGAGAGGCGGAGGTTGCAGTGAGCTGAGGTCGTGCCATTGCATGCAGTCTAGCCTAGGTGACAGAGCGAGACTCCGTCTCAAAAAAAAAAATTCTGAAATATGTGCTATACCCACTAGGACATTCACATTCATGTACTGGTGAAAATGGCTTTGTTTCTGTAAAGGCTTAAAAGTAGATGTCATATAAAAACAGGAAAACAAGGAATATTAAAGTGAAAGCAACACTTATATGCATGGTTTATGATTCTCATCTTTTGGAAGTTTCTTGTTGTCGTTTACCATCCTCTATATTCCAGTAGTGATTAACAACTAAATGAAGGGGTGTTTGGTGAGCATTTATGGTTAATCTTGAAAGTGAGAGAAGAAAATATCAAGACATAAGTATTAGTCTGTGTAGAGCAAAATAAAAGTAGATTCCAAACTCATTCTATGGGGTCAATATTTTCTAAGACCAAAGCCAGACAAAATTCATCATAAGAAAAAAAATGTAATCAAATCTCTCTTATGAATATGGACAAAAAATCTCTAACAAAATGTTAGGAAGCTACATTTCACAACATATAAAATGATTTTACACTATGGGACCAAAAATGATTTATCTCAGGGTTGTAAAATTGGTTTAACGTATGAAAATCAAAGTAATATCAACGTAATACACTATATCAAACATATAAAGGCCAAAACTTGCATGATTATCTCAATAGACGCAGGAAAAACATGTAAGAAAAAAGAATTCATAATAAATGTTTTCAGTAAACTAGAAATAGAAGGGAACTTCCTCAACTTGATAAAGAACACCTATGGAAGACCTGTGGCTAACATCGTAACTAATGGTAAAACGAATGCCCCCTCCTCCTAAACTAACAAATAGGGCAAAGATGTTTAATTTCATCATCTTTATGCAACATTGCGTTGGAGATTCCAGCCAATGCAATGGGTGGGTTGTGGGAGAGGGGGGACCTAAAAGAATCCAAATAAAATAACTAAAGTTGTCTATTTGCAAATAATATATCCTAAATATAGACTATCCAAAGGAACTCACAAAAATTACTGCAACTAAAAACAAATTTGGGATAGTACCAGGATAGCTCAATACATAAACATCAATTGTATTTTTATACATTAGCAGCAAACAAATAAAAAAGATTAACAATGCAAAACAGGCTGGGCACGGTGGCTCACACCTGTAATCCCAGCACTTTGGGAGGCTGAGACGGGCGGATTACGAGGTCAGGAGATCGAGACCATCCTGGCTAACACGGTGAAACCCCATTTCTACTAAAATACAAAAAAAAATTAGCTGGGCGTGGTGGCGGGAGCCTGTAGTCCCAGCTACTCGGGAGGCTGAGGCAGGAGAATGGCGTGAACCCAGGAGGCGCAGCTTGCAGTGAGCTGAGATCCGGCCACTGCACTCCAGCCTGGGCGACAGAGCAAGACTCCATCTCAAAACAAAAAACAAACAAACAAACAAACAAAAAAGCAATTCAAAACAGCATCAAAAAGAATGAAAAAAATGAATGTAGTAAAAGAATTGCAAGACATGTATGCTAAAGATGACAAAAACTGTTGAGAAAAAGAAAAGAAGATATAAATAACCCTTGTTTGTGACTTGGAAGACTCAATATTATTAAGATAGTAATTCTTTCCAATGATCTGTAGATTCAAAACAATACATTTCAAAGCTTTACAAGAATATTTTTCCAGAAATGAAAAAGTTGATCATAAAATTGATACAGAATGCAAAGGAACCAGAATAGCCAAAATAACTGAAAAAAAAGAACAAAGTTGGAGAACCTACATTTTCTAATTTCAAAACTTAATCCAAATCTGCAGTAATTGAAAGGTATAATACTGTCATATGACTAGACTTATAGATAAATGTAATAGAACTGAAAGTCCAGAAATAAACCCTTACATTTATGATCGAGTGATTTTCAACAGATAAGACAATTCATTGGAGAAAGAATATTATTTCCAGCAAATGGCATTGGGACAATTGCTATCCACATACAGAAAATGAATTAGACTCATATCATATACTAGGATTATCTCAAAATTGGATTATAAAACCAAAGTTTTATAAAATTATAAAATTTATAGATGTTAAAGAATTCTCAGAATCTACACAAAACTGTGGTCTATGAAACAAACAAAAATGATAAAATAGATTAATGATTCCCTGTGGCTGGAGATGACATATTATCTCACACCAGTCAGTATGGTGATTATTAAAAAGTCAGGAAACAGTAGATGCTGATGAGGCTGTGGAGAAATAGGAATGCTTTTACATTGTTAGTGAGAGTGTAAATTAGTTCAACCATTGTGAAAGACAGTGTAGCAATACCTCAAGGATCTAGAACAAGAAATACCATTTGACCCAGCAATCCCGTTACTGGGTATATACCCAAAGGAATATAAATCATTCTATTATAAAGACACATGCACACATATATTTATTGCAGCACTATTTACAATAGCAAAAACATGGAACCAATGCAAATATCCATCAATGATAGACTGGATAAAGAAAATGTGGTACATATACACCATGGAATACTATGCAGCAAAAAAAAGGAATGAGATCATGTCCTTTGCAGGGACATGAATGAAACTAAAAGCCATTATCCTCAGCAAACTAACACAGGAACAGAAAACTAAATATTGCATGTTCTCACTCATCAGTGGAAGTTGAACATTGAGAACACACGGACACAGAGGGTAACAAAACACACAATAGGGTGTAGGGGGTGATGGGGGGAACTTAGAGGACAGGTCGATAGAGGCAGCAAACCACCATGGCACATGTATACCTGTATAACAAACTTGCACATTCTGTAAATGTATCTCTTTTTTTTAGAGGAAATAAAGAAAAATGATGAGGCCATGCCAAAAAGAGGCAGGAACTAGACCATAGAAGCTCTTCCCAGTCAATTCTTGAATAATTTGAAAACTAAAATTAATAATGATGGTGAAAAAAAAAATTTTGATTTTACTTGTGGCTTCAAACTCCCCCTACTCACTATGGTACCACCACCACCACCACCCCTACTGAAAAAAATCAGCATTACAAAAGACTCTAAGTTTCATCTCCATATTTTTAAATCAAAAACTTTATTGAAATCTAGCTAATGTAAGTTGTGCTTCTTGATTTAATTTTTTTATGGTATTTTGTCATAGAAATTCTAACTAAGACACTCTGAAAAAGAAATTCTAAGAAGAGCTTCCTGCCTCCTAGCATCCTATAAGTGGGGTAGGAGTCTTGCTCTCTGGATATTCCTCACATAAGCAGTGGCTTTGCATTACCTGGATGTACTTATGCTCTGCCAGCCCACCAGGTACTCTGGTAAGCTTGTTGTTGTCCAAGTGAAGCTCCCTCAGATGAGGCGTGTTGGCCAGAGAGCCATTGTCGACAACAGAGATGCTGTTGAAACTCAATCCCAACCTGCAACAGAAAGCAGAAATGAAAGCAAACACCACACATGGATGCCTTTCTTACATGCATTGTGTAATTAATCAAGTCTATAGGAAAGGACATTTTTTGTTTCTGTACTTAACTGTTCCCAGTTCTTGGAGTGCTTTCTCCAACCTCTCTGAGCCTGGACAAAGCCCATGTATTGTTAAAGTCTCGGCTCGAAGTCACTCTCTTTGAGATTCATCTGACAGAACGTGATTGGACATAGTCTCCTATTCCTTACAATATCCTAAGTTATTAATATTATTAGAACATAATATTCCTAATAATTTATTTTTAAAAACCGTTCACTTATTCAAATATTTATTTGTAAATATTTAATAAACAAATGTTCTTGAAAACTTATTATGTGCATGATATTATGTTAGGCACTGTGAGGGACAGAGGTCTCATGGATCAAAAACCACTTTTCCCATCAAAGAATATTTTACCTAGTAAAGGAGTTGATTATACACACACACACATGCATATATATAAATATATATATTCAAAGATATATTTTATATTTATTTATCCACCATGAAATGTATATATAAAAACAGGAGTGAGTAAATCTGGCATGATACTGTGCTTCCCTGTAGGGACAGTCAGCAATATATACACATAAAAAATAACAGAGTGTTCCTTGAAGACAAATGAAAACGTTTGCCAGATTGAAGTTATGTTTGAAACCAGGACAAGTACTAGTATCACTTATTTTTTTAAAAAATCATTAAGAAGGGCCAGCAAAAACAACAACAACAAAAGCTTTTCTTTTGTTGATCTACATTAAATGTCCAGAGATATTTTATTTTAAACTTTTCAGAGAAGAGAGGGTTAGAGAATCTCATAACTATTAAAATAGTAATTTGTGTGATGCTCAATATTTCTCTGTCTTGGTAGATTTCATTTTAATGTATTTTCAAATTCTGGAAACTGTGTTATAAATTACTTAACCTTCTGTTTGATGCAACTAAGTTAGAACATATTAAATGCAACATACTGATTTAATCACACACTTTGTGTATAAAACATAACTAATCTATAAACAGTGTAGTATTAATAAAATGTGAAGCTGATTTTGGTGGTTTTAGTAAGTGTACTATTTCATGGGCTTCTTCTCAAGAAATCATTAGATATGCTGAAATTTGAGATTATTAGAAACCACAGCAGCAGCGAAAATATAGTACAGTCAAAAATCAGTCATCATGTTTGTAATTCTTATCATACAAGCACTAATATACCTAGCCATTGTTCTGATAGAATGTAATGAAAGATTATTACTTAGCCAAATTATTCAGTCCTTTCAGGCTAGCTGCATCAACTCTGCTGATTTTGTTGCCATCAAGATGTAATTCAGTAAGGGAAGGAGGAAGACCTGGAATGTGAAGTTGAAGATGTTAAATTAGCAGATAAACATTATAAGTATGGAATATGGACAGACTTAAAGAAGACATATGCCATCAATTTTCTAAAAGATACACGGTTTCGAAGAATCAGTTTTACTTATCTTTTTTTCCATCCCTTTTATAATAGTGTGTGCTTTTGGAAGTAGTGGAAGCCCTTACTATTTTTCTCTTAGGTTGGCTTTAACAAAAACCTGGATTATTTTTATCACGTAGTCGATTTTTGTTCTTGGAATAGAAGAACTGAAGTCAATGCTGAGTCTCATTATTCTCTTCCACCTTTGTTAATGGGCTAAAATTGACATTGATAAAAGATAGTAACTGTAAAGTGGGAAGGTCACTATTCGAACCATAATGAAGAGATTACGTATAAACCAAACCCATATACAAACTAAATTGTCTATTTCATTAATGAGCATCATTAAAAATTAACACTGATATGCTGTGCTGGTCTTAGCCTTAATTGACTTTTCCATAAAAACATCAAATACCTCTGCAAAATGGCTGTGTAGAAACAGCTAACGTTTACTCATGCCTATTAAATCCAGAATGTTTATGCAGGAGGAGTGGAGAGGTCTATAATCAAGTGATCTACCATATGTGGAACACTTGGGGGAATAATTTCAGATCCAAAGTACCCACTAAACCTCTAGATAGTACTTGCATGGCTGTAATTTCCAAAAATTGAGTATTTTAAATATAAAAGTTTAAATATTTTATTTTCATTTCCTCCTGGCGTCTCAGGATATATTATATTTTATACAGCTTTTAAAATAGCATATTGTTCCACTTAATAGCAATAGATACAGAGAAAATAGCAAATTGATTACGTGTAGAAAGAGCATCTGATTGGCAGAAAGTCTTGGCTATTTGTCTATAAAGACACAGAATTGAAAAACCGTAGGTTTCATTTTCTCTAAAATTTTTATCACATCACACTGAATTCTGTTAACATTGTCCATTTAATAGAATAGTTTAGTCCATATTTGACTTGAAAATGTTTCTTAGTTTCCTATGGTAGCATATTTTGTGTGGTAGCTGCTAGGAAAAGGAACATCTATTTATTGTATGTCTGTTACTCACCGAACATTGACCTTGGCACTTTCCCTACCTCAAATCCTTTAAGCCTCTCAAAATATAAACTATTGGTCACTCATCCCCTTTCACAGATAAAGAAATAAGACTCAAAGTTACAAATTTTGTAGATTATCTTTCTATTAGGTAGGGAATGTAATATGCTTATAGATGGCAAAAAAGTTAAAATAGCATGTTCTTAACTGGAGGAAATGAAATAACAAGTACATTTTTCTTATAAAGAAATATTAGGAAATCACAATCACTCTGGGAATGAGGGATTTCAACCACTTGATTCTCCTGAGAATAAACAAATATGCTTTTAAATACCCCCATAGTAGAGCAAGTGTGTATATAACAGAGCAAGTTTAATACACACCCTTTCTTCTCTATTGCCATGAAGATATGTGTATTTTTTAATGCATTGCCTCTAGGACACCAATTGCTATAACATCCATCACCCTTACTTAGTTTCAAAGTGGCTCCCTTTTTGGGATGTCAGTTTCTCAAATGTAAAGTTATAGTTAGGAAGAAGTTTGACTATGGGAGAAAACTTTGCCAAGGTTTGAGATAGACAAATTTATAAAGTGCATCATTAGCTTCTGCCACTGTGGCATTGAGTTAAACAACCCATACTCTAGTTCTTTTATTTATTTATTCATTTATTTTAAATTTTCTTTTTTCTTTTCCTTTTTTAAGATAAAATATATTGAGGTTTATATTGGGCCAAGTACTTGCATGTACATTACAAGCCTTACTTCTACATAGTAATCCTCACAATAATCCTAGTAGATAGGTGTTATTAATAGCTCCATGTAACAGATAACAAACCTGAGGTTATAGAAATGCAGAAGAATTATCCTAAAGTCACAGTACAACTAAATGACTGAGTTAGGTCTCTCACCCAGGTTGGTCTAAGAGTATGATTTTTATAGTCTCTACACTACTTTCTACTGCCTTTCCATTTCCATGAGTGATGGGAGAAAATATCACCAGGAGGTTGCTGATATTCAGGCATAAGTATCCCAGCCTAAGCAAGGTGGAATCATGTATTAGATAGGCGTTAACGATGAATAGAATGGAGGACTTAATATGCCAACACAGCGAAATAGTTAAACACACGAGTTCTGACATCAGCACCACACAATTCCATCTCTGCCGCTTCCTAACTCTAAGAACTTAATTATAATTGTCTTTACCTGTTTAAGCCTCATTTTCCACTTTTATGAAACGGGAATGATAACACTACTATATAGGGATGTTGTAAGAATCATATAAAAGACTCCATGACAAGCATTTGGCATGATACACGGAACTAAATACATGCTTAATAAATTGTAGTCACTTAACTTTTCTATTAAGTGGTGGTAAATAAAAGCAAGCTATAAATGATGAGGAAAGAATACCTGGGATAGATAGAAGACACAGCAAAGTAAAGGAAAAGAGATCATGAAATGATAAAAGGTATGAGTGAAGGATATTTTGGAGCATGCATTAAGAGGGACAGCAAAGTCTGAGGCTGTGCTAAATGTAAGTCATCTGGCTGCATGAAATAAATTTCAGCAAGAATTTTAGCAAGATCTATCTATCTATCTAATCTCTCTCTCTCTCTCTAAATCCCCAATTTATATCTATCTGAGATATAAATATTTCATTCCTGCACTGGGGATAGCAAAAGATCACTTGTTACATGCAACAAATTGGAGATTCAACATGAAAGTGCTTTATAAATTATAAATCAGTCTTTATCATCTACGTATCTACCTATCCCAGTAGTTGCTACTAAGGAAGTCAAAAGCATGCTCTGTATTCAAAAGACTAGGGATAGGGCAAGGGGTGGTAAGAAAGCATCCTATGGAATATATACTTTCAGGAGTCAAAATTTCTATAAAAGAACAATAAAGCACAACTGATGTTTTCTGTGGCCAAATGCCTACATTTTTGTAGGCACTCAAGAACAAGGCATCTAAGTTGAGAAAGGGACAGACTGAGGGTAAAACTAGAGAATATAGAGGGCTTTTGTGAGACTGAAAAACCAAGAGTAGGGATGATGTGCAAGTTAGAGGAATTTTTTTATTGGTGGTTTGATGCCTTTTCTAATTCACAAAGACTGGTTTTTGTGCCTCTCCTGGGAATCCCTTGGAACAATGAAATTATCCTTGTGGCTATGTGGTCATTGCTGTGTATTTGTCTGGCTTGGTTTTAGATAGTAAGCTCCTAAAGGCATGTAGCATATCCTATTCCCTGCCCTGTCTTAAGTGTGTGGTACATCGCCTACACATACTGATTGTTCAGAACATTTTGAATTCATAATAGAGAGTTATATTAATTCCCTACTTATCTATATCCCAAATATTTCTCTAATTATTTATTTAACTTTAAAACAACTTGATGAAGTGGACAGCAGTATTATTTCCACTTGACAGATAAAGAGATAGAGGACAAATGAATAACTTTTTCAAAGTCTTTGAACAATTTGATGATAATTTAGGCTCCAGCAAACTGACTCCAAAATCTACACTCTTCACAACACACAACTACCACTATCATTCAGATATTAATAACTGGAAAAAAATTCCCTAAGGTATTGCAGACCCAAGGTGAAAATTGGATTAATTTCAGAGGTACTCCCATATATCTTTTTTTTTTTTTTTTACAAACACCAAGGCATGTTAATTTTTTAAATAAATATACTTTTTCTTTGTGATTTCACAATATTGTAAAATCACTGTGCATTAAGTTGTGTCTTAGAGTAGACATTAACAGGAGTCTACCCATCTCTACAGTGAGCCTGGATGGCCCAGTAGCCCCAGACTGAATCACTGGATGTAACACTAGCAGTAATAGAGAATTTGCTGGAAATGTAAACACTGGATGAAACACTAACAGTAATAGAGAATTTGTTGGAAATAAGGTTGGTCTCTTAAGTGACAATTCAAGTTTCCACAAGATTTTTTTTTTTTTTAATTAAAGTCTTTGAATTTAAATTTTTCAAAATGTTTTGGAGAATCTTCTATCACCTTGAGGAATGCTGGTGATATTGGTATCAGCAATGCGGATGTAGGAGAGCTTCTTCATTCCCTGGAAAGCCCCATTTTCAACTCCTGAGCTCTTCAGCGGATTGGTGCCCAGTTCTACAAATGTAATAAGAGGAAGGTTTTTAGAGGAAATTCTAGGATATCACTAGTCACTGTAGGTCACTGTAGTATCTGTTTCAGCAAGCAATCTATAAAGAAATAGGGATTAATATCAACTTGACTAAAAAACAAAAGTGAAATTAAAGGGCACGCTCCTCAGGAGAATAGCAAAATGGGATAAAAATTTCCCTTATTAAAACAAACAAAAGCCAAACCAACAATGGCTTATGAAAAAGACTATCAGTGAAAGCAATAACAATAAAATTATTTAAGATGAATACACAAGTTTGCCCAGAAATCAACTAAAGCAAGTTTACAATTCCCATCTTATGTTATTACTTTCCTAAGGTATTTTAAAATTTTGTTAAAGAAATTCAATCTAGCATTTTATAAGTCAATAATAAAATTACAATTTTTACTATATGTTTAGTGAAACATTACAACTTTTGTTTTGTTTTGTTTCGTTTTGTTTTGAGACGTAGTTTTGCTCTGTCGCCCAGGCTGGAGTACAGTGGCGCGATCTCAGCTCACTGCAAGCTCCGCCTCCCGGGTTCACGCAATTCTGCCTCTGCCTCCCTAATAGCTGGAACTACAGGCCCCCGCAACCACTAATTTTTTGTATTTGTAGTAGAGACGGGTTTTCACCGTGTTAGCCAGGATGGTCTCGATCTCCTGACCTCGTGATCCGCCTGCTCCAGCTTCCCAAAGTGCTGGGACTATAGGCGTGAGCCACCACACCCAGCCATAACATATTTTTAAAGCAAATGATTTATGAGTGTTTAGAATACAACAGGTCCCCAAAATGAAAAGGTATCTAAAAATATCCCTAGTTAAGCACCATTTAAACTCATTTTTGCATATTGTGCGTGTGGTAGGGTAACTTCAGCCCTAGAGTTTTCTCCGTATTCTCAGATACTGAAGGACAGATATAAAAGCATCACTGTAAGGTCCAGATTCAAAATCCCAATTTCTCTTGTCCCTGCTCTTAAAAATCACATAGGCTCCAGGCGTGTAGGTCATAGCTGATTTACCTTACTGCACCTAAAACCCAGTTGAAATCTCTTAAAGTAAAACGTGAGTTTTGGTCTTAAAGTTATAAAAATGTCTGTACCTATGACAATCATCTGGTTCAGTCCATTGAAAGTAGTTTTTCGCACTTTGGTGATCTCATTCTCATGGGCACGCAGCTCCTGAAGAGTTTTGGGCATTTTTTCTGGCAATTCCTTCAGCTGATTCTTGGACAGATAAAGTCGTTCCAACTTCACCAAAGGTGTAAATGCTCCAGGGCTAATTTTGCTAATTTTATTGTTGACAAGAATCAATGCCTGTAGATAGTGAAGAAAAACATCTTAGATCCAAAACCTTCCACATACATGTAAAATGAGTGCACGTTTGTTCATTCCATTCATTAGGGATAGCAGAGAAATCTAAAAAATTGCAAGAAATCGGAGAAAAAATTAAGTAAGTATTAGTTCTTTACTTAAGAAGTGTGTAGGCCAGATGTGGTGGCTCATGCCTGTAATCCCAGCACTTTGGGAGGCCAAGGTGGGCGGATCACTTGAGGCCAGGAGTTCGAGACAAGCCTGGCCAGCATGGCGAAACCCCATCTGTACCAAAAATACAAAAATTAGCTGGGCGTGGTGGTGTGTGCCTGTAGTCTCAGCTACTTGGGAGGCTGAGACAGGAGGATCGCTTGAGCCCGGGAGGCAGAGGTTGCAATGAGCCGAGATCGCACCACTGCCCTCCAGCCTTGGTGACAGGGAGAGACTATCTCAAAAAAAAAAAAAAAAAAAGTATAATATCAGGACCTGAAAATCAGGAATGAAGAGGAGGGAAATGTAATAAGATGTATAATATGTCCTTAAACATACATGCACCCTACACACACAGACATGTACGTATGTATATGTACATGTATATATGTATGTAATTTTTAAATAATAAATACTCCTAAAAATTGAAATGACCCAAGATACCTGAAAATAATCAATGCCACAGACATCCATCCCGCAGTCAGGTTTTAAATCTAAAAGTCCATCTTCATTGATTGTGATCACGGATTCCGCAACAAAAGGATGATACCAATTTATGCTATCATCAGCAATGCAAGGAACTAAACTTCTTCTGCAGCCTTGCAATATTTGATA